CTGTGGGAGCCCCACTGTGGCAGAAAGCTCCATAAATAACCAGCAAGTAGGTGTGTGCTTCTGCTCGGAGTATCCACAGAAAAAAGGAGCTGTCTGCAGAAGTTGCAATTTTGGCAGTGCAGCAAGGGAGGTGGGCTGAAAGGGAATGTTTCTGCATTCTCAGCATCAGTGAGAGCCGCAGTGAGATCCCAGGTGTTCTTGTGTGAAGTCCTTCTCTGACAGTAGTAAGGCACAGTAGAAGGGTGCTCCCTGCCCTTCCTGCCCTGCAGTAGCTTTTGCAGGTGGCTGTGTTGCATAAATGTCCTTGACCACACTGTTAGAGAAATTGGGCATTTTCCCTGTGTGATGGGGAAGGGTTTTATTGTTGAGAGGGTTCAGAGAAGTTCCCCTTGTTGCTGCTTGTGCCATATGTGAGTTTGGTGTACACGGAAGCTGTCGTTCTGGGCCTCTTGAGCTGACAGCTTCCATAAATGTCAGCGTTTTGAGATCTCTGAAATGGAGCAAATAGCTGGTGACGTTGGCATTGGCTGGAGTGGTCTGTTTCCTCAGTCCTGAAGTACTGAAGTGAATGGAGAGTCCCTGGAAACGTTGCAACCCCTGCAAATCCAGAGATTTTGTTGAGTCTGACGTGGTTGGTGGTTTTACACTAATGCCTTGACTAAAAGCACCAACCAAATGTAAAACTTCCTGTCTGCCTTTGTTCTCTTAGAACCAGCAACATCACACCTAACCAACCTTGGTGAAGAGCGAGATCCCTGAAAGGAGTATAACAGTTCCAAGCGTAGCTCATAAATGCTGCAGGAAGTAATTCTTGTTTCTGTCAGCATCTTTCCCACAAGGTAGCTCCCCACGTGTTTTACAGTCCAGTAGGATATGAATAGCATAAGACCAGACATTGGCTTCAGGGCAGCAGCTGTGCCTGCCCAATGATTGCACTTCGTTTTGGTCTGAGGTTAAGAGAGAGATTCACTTCCAAGCTTTGCACTTTCTCATGCGTGCAGCCTGTCCATATGGCAGATAACTGTGCCTTTAAAAATCCATATCCACTTTCCTTTCCATCTTCACAGTAAGTCATCACTGAGTCCTGATGGGCTTTTGCAAGTGGAAGAGATCAAATACGTACAAATTGTTTCAACGTAGCAAGTGTGGGAGGGTGTCAGGTCTGCAGCATTATTGCTGCTCAGTGATTCAATTGGTGTGTAATGCATTTGCAAACACTCTACTTGCTGCCTGTGAGAAATGGATTGGTGGTCCCAGGCCAAGGGAATAAGAGGTGGGTGTAATAGTTAGAAATATTTTCCTGCCCGGTAGATGGGAGGTGGAATAGTTGTCTTCCCGGTAAGTTCTCTTGTACACAGAAGTAAAAATCTTTATAAATCTCCCCAAAGTGTCCTGGGCAGTGAATGAAGATGGTTGGAAGTAGCATGGCTTCTACCGATAAGAGGGTGGTGAAAGAGTGAGACAGAACTAAAGCAGGAGAACCATGTCAGGAAGAAAAACGTTTTTGACTTGGGAGGTTTGAGTGAGAAGGAGAGCAAACAGAGTCAGTGAGTGTGTTGTCCTTGCCCATGTGGGCTGGCTCTTGCACCCTGACCGGGATGGTAGTGCTAGCATCTGGAGAAAATGCTGTGTATATGGTTTCTCTCTCAGAGGGAGTTAAAATGTATCAATATATTAACAGTATATTCGTGGGTGGTCCCAATGCTCAATAGTAGGAGAAATCCAAGCAGAGATAATTAGTCACTGGAAAATTTAGGGTTCCAAATTCAAGCAGAAAAGCTGCAACCCCAGATCTGCCATGGTGAAGTTCCTGCGTATATGGTGGAGGGGAGGAATGGTGTGTATTCTCCCTGAAACCTTGGCTATCCTTGAACAAGTTAAAATGCCTGGAAAGAAGGAGCTACAGTATTCCCTGGGTCTGCTGGTATTTTGGAGAAAACATATCCCAAATTTCTCAATCATGGCAAGTGCCCTTTATGATTTAACATACCAGAGGACCAGCTGGGACTGGAGCCCTATCCGTCAAGAAGGCCTACAATTGTTAATCTTTGAGGCTGGGTTATATCAGATATCAGGCTTTAGGTCCAATACATCTGACAGATCCACTTCAAAAAATCATAGAATCATAGAATGTTAAAGGGTTGGAATGGACCTTAAAATCATCTAATCCCAACCACCCCTGCTATGTACAGGGACACTTCCCACTAGACCAGGTTTCTCAAGGCCTTATACAACCTGGCTTTGAACACTGCCAGGGTTGGGGCACTGGTATGTGCAATTATATCATTAGTGCCATGTGCTTCAGGTAGAGGAGGGAGCACATGAAGTGCTCCAAATACAAGAACCACCTGGCAATCAACTGGGCCAGGAGCTTCCCCCATCATATATGAAACCAACCTCGCAATTTGAGCCCCATGTGAAAAATGTATGGTTCACTGATGCATCCTCCAAAGGAGAGGAGGATACTGAGGGGGAGCCCTGTGTGTTTTTTGAGCAAGCTGAATTGTGATGATGCTCAGATGGGAAAATTGGTAGCCATGTGCAGTGTGGTTTTTAGAGAGGCTGAAACTAAAAACAACAGTGTTTATTTATATGGACTCCTATGCTGCTTTTAAGGGGTGCACTGGATGGCTCCTGTTTTGCGAACAAACCCGTGGGAGGTCAATCGGGTCCCCAGTGTGCCAGCAAGAGAAGTGGGACGACATCCTAAACACAGCTAAGCAGAAGTCTCTTGGTGGGATGGATTGCTACTCACCAGAAGAGGGATCACCTCCTGAATAATCAGGTAGATTAACTGACCTGTGTGGTACGTATGGCAGTAAAGGGAGAAGAATTAAAATGGGAGCATCTGTTACAGAGGTTACATGTAAAGGGAGGCCATTCAGGAGTTAAGGATCTTTTTAAGGGAGCTGGTAGCAAAGGGTGGCCTGTCACTCAGGAACTGTGTAACAGTCATCTCAGCCTGTGGCCAGTGTTGTACCCAACTAGAGAAACAACACCCTTTGCAGGAGGCTCCCCTTCACTTATGACACAGAAAAGGCCTCTGGGAGACCTGGCAGGTGGACTATCTAGAGCCTTTCTTGAAGTCAGAGGGAAAGCAGTATGTTCTCATTGGGGTGGAAGTAATGTCAGGGCTCACTCAAGCTGAGGCAGTAGCACAAGCAACTGGGTACAGCACTGTAAAGGGACTGAAGCTGTGGATTAGTTATTTGCCATGGCCCGAATACCTCCAATCTGACAACAGTAGTCACTTTACTGTCAGGGTGGTTCAAGAGTGGGCACAGGATGAGGAAATCCAGTGGATCTTTCACACCCCATACTACTTCCAGGCAAATGGTATTATTGAATGCACCAGTGGGCTCTTGAAGAGGGCCCTGAAACCTCATGAACCTGGTTGACCACAGTTGGGTGGGGAGTTAAGGAGTACCCATGACTCAGGCTTTTGTCTTCAATCCCCACCCATACTTCCTGGGACAAAAGAAGCCAAAGACCCTACAAATCCTCCCCATTACCCAGAACAGCTGGTTTTGGTAGAATTACCAAGAGTAGGATTGGTACCTCTGACCTTAAAAAAGCCACTTAACCTCTGTGTATGGGTGGTTAATGATGGTTCCCTCCTTTTAATAATGTTTTGTTTTTATGCACATATATGTTTTACAGATTATCTGAAATCCACTGCTGGAGCTACGCTTTCAACTGTTGAGTGGATGGACCATTTTGCATATTTTTAGTTTGATTTTACTAAGCCTATTTTGCCTTTTTACTAGAGAAAAATGGTGTGGGAAAAGTTTTTATTCTTATTTTATGGGTGTACAATTTTGTCTCAATTGATTGAGAATGAGGATACTCAGCCAAATTTAGCTTGGGAGTTGATACAAGGATTTATGCATATTTGGAACCACACGAATCAAGGAATATGTATTAACCTCCCCAACTCTGCATCAGAGGGGCTTAGATTTATGATGATTTGGTTAAATTTTTCAGAAATATTAACAAGAGAACTAGATAACCTTAAAAAAACAGGAGGAAATGTTACCTGGGGAATGGTCGAGTCCCCCTTTCTAGACCAGAAGGAAGGACAACAATGGGCTGCAAATGGGACATGGGTAGAATACAAGAAAGCCTTTTACCACCTCCCACACAACTCTACCTGGAACCATTTATGGAATCAGACATGTTATCGATCATTAGACGCTAACCCTACTGAGACATTGCAAAATGTCACTTCTATCCCTTGCACGATTGTACCATGGTGGGATTCTCCTGCTGAGGGTGGGTTTTTCGAACATGAGTACAATTTACATTGGGATGCAGGATGGTGTATACAGATCCCCAGTAACCCAGGAACCCCACACCAAGTTAACCAAACAAATTATGAATGGGCTTGGTCTCTGAC